AGTGGTTTCTCCCATCAAAGAGGAACAGATTCCCACTTCGTACTGTTGTTGCTTTCAGATGGCACGACTTTTCTACCACAAGCCGCAATTCGCTATTCTTGACGAATGCACTTCAGCTGTTAGCGTAGATGTAGAAGGTAAGAAAAATTTCAATAACTCCGAAGTTTCTGCGTATTTCCGGGCCATACATCCTATACCAATTAGGAATCCTAAGGACACTTGAACTGTGTTTGTCGCAAGAATCGAGAATTTCTGAATACACTCATGTCAGAATGTTGGAGTTGTAAGAAAGATTTCGTAGAAATCAGTGAACCTTAGACGTTTTCCGCTGGCTATCTGCTCATCCTGAGGCGAGCTGGTGTAGTGGCAAGTGACGCCTACCACGTGCGCGATCCGGTGGTCAGGGCCAACCAGGACTTCTTCCCCTCAGGGGCGCTAAATTGCCCCCAGATTCGTCTGTGAGGAGAAGAACACTGACTTTACATCGGCTGGCCCCGAATGTCATTGTATAGGCCATGTCACTTCAAAATGCCCTCACGATTCTTAACGGAAGTAGAATGCGTGCCGCATCCTGAAAAGGGATAGCTTCTCTTCCTCAGACTCTGCCTTCTCACCTTAGATTTGGTTACAATGGACGGTTTGTAATTACGTGACCTCTAAACATAGTATAGTGGTCACCTCCAACCATATTCCCTCCCCGTGTCTAAACAGTGTCTTTCTGGAATGTGCCGCGCACTCTTCTTCCATTTGGAATTGTGGTGTCATCTTGATTCGGTTTGGTCTGTAAGGTGGCTTGGGGGTGAGGTAGCCAATGTAGAAGTCGGTTTCATGGCCTCCTAGAAGAATCAGAAACCGTTCGATGGCCCCGGAGTATAGAAGGCTTGGTTGGAGTAGTAGGGAGCCGATTCGGAATTAAATCTATAAAGAGTTTGGTAAGCGGCTGCAGTTGTCGTTACACCACATTCGCCTTTTCCACGGCAGGAAAAAAATTCTTTTCGCACCAGGGCAGAAATTTCTCATCAGAGGCACATACGACCCCCCTCCTCCCAACAACGGCAAATAACGACTCCCTCACCCACGGCCCAATACGACGCTCCCCATGTGTTTCACGACAACAATGATGTACCCCGTTGGGGCAAAAGGATTCCTACGAAGGAGTTACGTTTAAGCACGGACTCTGTCTCAAGGTACTAAATGTGCGCTCAAACCCCCAAGTGTCCTATTCATGTAGTTGGAAGGAGAAGTTAGCATAAAACTCTCTCCAAAGATTTGGAAACGTTCAAGATGTGGCCCGTCCTCCGTTACTGCTGCAGCGCTCTTCCTAGCGTGAAGATATGTCATACTGATCTGGAAACTCAACGTATAGCTATTAGAGGCAAAAAAATATATTTTCCAGGAGCGATGTATAAGATCTGTCGGGAGATGGGAATTACGCTATTCACAGTATCACATCGAAAATCACTATGGGTTCATCACGAGTACTTCCTTCACATGGACGGCCGTGGATCGTATCAATTCGAGAAAATCGACGGTAACACCGCTGTGTTCGGCTCTTGAACAAGAGAATCGGCATCTAAGGTATGGATTTCAGCAGCAGTGCAGTACTGCTGCTTGCATCCATATCTGTCGCAGAAATGAACTAGTCTTTTTTGTATCAGCCTTCTTTTGGATTTCATTGTAGAAATGTATCTTTACGAACATTTGTCATCTACCTCATCTCCAAACTTCCATTTCTAATTTCTACAGTTTTGAGGAAATGGCCTAACTAAGTAATGGACACACTTTAATAAGATTTGAGTAACATTTTGAGGGGTGTAATTTCAGGACAACCGTAGCGCGATATTGCGCACAAAGTAGCATTGCTAAGCTAAAAGACTCGAGACAGTACTTCATGTAACGTCAGAAGGCAGGTTCGGCTCGCGGCGCCTCTAGCCCATTCTCCACCTCTTGTTTAGGCGGGTAAGCGAAAACAGTTGGTGGAAAATGTCAGATACGAACGATATGAATGATTCTTATTGAATGTTGAAAGAAAAAAGAAAAAATGGGCTGGCGTGGCGCTAAACCATCTCCCTTGACACGCCAAGGGGGATGGTTTAGCGACACGCCCCTCATCCGCAGCGAACATGGCTGTGGGTCTGTGATTAGCTTCCATCTCAAAGTTCGGAGGTCTTTGTCAAGTCAACTACCTAGGAATACTAAGGTGCGGAGCGTTACTTCCGAGTCGAGGCGAATGCGTCTTAATGGGCGTTTCAAGCGGTGTGGCTTACGTAGCATTCGCACAAAGACCCAGTCCCTCAATGTACGGTCATGATCCATGCAAATGAACATGGAATGCGACGGGGCGTGGATTGAAGCGCATTCAAGGTGTCATTTCCCACCAATGATATCATCCTTAGTGCTCTACAATAGGCGGGGAGGCTGCACTGACTGTCCTCCAATTCACGCCCTTTCACAGGTCCTATCGTTTGCAGGGATCATGAATATAGTAGTGCTGCATCGCGTCGACTCTCTCTACGCTCTTTGCGTCTGCATCTCTTGAGCCGTCTAGTTATCTCTGTGTCTATATCTGTCAAGTTGACTAGCTATGGAATAATCTGTTTGGGGGATAATGCCGCGAATCGAAAGTAACGCTCCATACCCGAATACTGTTTGGCTCGCGCGGAATGCCGCTCCTCGGATGTCCTGGACTAGACCTACTGGAAGTGACTCATTTGCCATTAAGCGGCATTTCCCCCTCCAACCGAGCTTTTTAAGGACTTTTTCCGCTCTTGTTTTCAGATAGTTTTCACTTTTGTAGAAATCTAACACAAACCAAACTAAAAAACAGAATCAATCAATGAGGTTGGTCATTCTCAATGACACTCTTTAATAACTAGTTAGTCATTAGTCCTAGCTTCATTTCTGTTCTTGTTGTTACACTCTCTTAGCAATTTGTATGACTCAGCTAGATGATTTTTTGAGAACTCTTTTCCCTCGTAGTTCGATAGTGTTCTGTTTGTTATTTATACTCGATCGATCATTTTGAATGGACTGCAGTTCTTTTGTTGATTTTTATCGTCAGAGGTTCGGATGTCGTCGTAAAACATCTGAACAATAAATAAAGCATCTCTGTCTCGTCTCCTGGTGAAGTTTTCTCAGACACTTAACTCTGGTGGAATACAATGAGAGTCGTAACTGTGGGGTCTGTAATTTTGAGGAGCATTGAGAAGGCTTTGACCCTCAAAGCATGAAAGCTGAAGTCTTCGCCGTTGATCAACCCTTTGTGGGATGCGGCACGCATTCTACTTCCATTCAGAATCGTAGTGGCTTATTAAATGCGATATGGCCTTCACAATGACTTGAGGAAGGCAGCCGACACACTAGTCAGTGTAATGTAATGTAATTTGTATGTAACATGCAAGGAAGCATGCCAGCGTTCTCATCCTTCTAGATCAACCTAAGGCCAATTTTCTACCTGGAGGCTGGAAGGCTGGGTGGCTCGGGCTGAAGCTATTCCAGGATTCGATCTCTGTACCTAGCGCGTGGTAAGCGTGCCATTTGCCACTACATCATATAGTTTGGGACTTTACCCTACTTTTACTTATTCTTGGTCCTCTAAATTCTGGTAATTTAGCCACTTATGTTTTCTATCTGAATGAACGAACTATCCTCCTTCCTCAGTGTCAATTTGAGAATCGCGTTGTTCTAGCTTCCTCAAATTGACATAAATTTTTGGTTGAGAAAAGACATCCTTCTGAATGTTTACAGGAAATTTCGCTGCCAGCAGGGACCCCAAGTTTTTTTCCTGGTTTAGTCACAAGTTATCCCAACTTTCCTATTATTCCTAAAGTTATTCTCCTAAAGTTGAAGTTTTCCTAAAGTTATCCCGACCACTGCTCCCCTAAACCTATATGTTTAGGATTACACAGCCAGTGGCAAGTGGATGACATCGATGTGACATCTTTCGTTGGACTCGCGTCATTCTGCTTTATATGTTGTAAGAGAATACGCTATTAAACCAAAGTGTTTTGCTATAGCTGCGTCAGAGCGAAAGCGCTGCCCTAGGCTGCTATGTACGCGCTTTCGAAGCCCAACTATCTCGAAACCCACGATGGAACCCTTGCGCCAAAAGGTTCGTCCGAGGGTTCTGAAAGTCGCTTGTCATTGAACGCGCTGAGATAATAAATTAGTATGGTTTCCTATCTTGGAGGCTCCCCAAGAGAGCTGTCGGATTTCCATGAGGAGTTTCGTAGTGTACTGTAAAATTACAAAATCAAGTAGTGTGAAACGAATACTGTGCCCATTAGAAGCACAGGGTAGAGTAAATTTCACTATTTTGAGTAACAGCTGCAGAAGGAACGGTAGACATTTGAAGGGTCTGTTTTTCTTCTCAAAGAGGATCGGTAAGTGATAAGCAGAAGGCCGCCTTTGAGCTGATGGAATGCTTCTCTGCAACTTATGGTCAGGTATGAAACTGACAGCACGTGAACACGCTGCTCTCTTTATCATCCGTTTCCCCTCTTTTTACCTCCTCGCCCTTTCTATAGCGACGATATTCGCTCAACGATGTTCAGCTGATGGATGATGCGTGGGTTCTCTGGATGTCGTCCATTATGCGACTTGAAATGTCGAGCGTAGGAGACTCGCTGAACAGCTGGTCGAGACACAGTTGTCACTGCTCAACGATCGGCAACATCCTTGGAACGCCCTACCGAGTGCTCGTTGCCCTTTCCTTCCGTCAATGTTTTTCTTATTCTAGGACATTCTTAGACTTCAACTTTGAACTGTTGAAAACGGAACAGTGACGTCAACAGGTGCTATCAATGCTTGAGATTTTCGTGCCTGGGGTCTTTATGTTTTGAATATTTCTTATCTGCAAGGCCCACGAATTGGGGTGGCAGTCTGTACATATAATAGCATTAATAGACTTGCTTGCATGAAAGTTTCTAAAAACTTCAATGATTTCGCTGTCTTTTGAGGTATTTTCAAACAAATTTAGAAGTTTCACATTTTCACTGAATACTCAGATACCGCGAAGCTTCGGAGATACACAATACTTGCACAATTACTACTTGCGATTGGTTAAGCTTGCCGGCCCTCCTAGATAGAATTTAGAGAGCCCGCTGAATTTCTGTAAGCCTACTATGTATGTACTATGTTGAATATATATTGTGTGTGTCCGTCTATATGTCTGCCTTTCTGTCAGTTGGTCCGACTGTTAGGCTGTCTCACTGTCTGCCTCTGTCACCAAATTCAGTGCCGGTCGCGGCGATAGCGGTATGTTGATTCCAATATATGGTACAGACGATTGTACAGGAACATTATTCGAGGGTGGCAGGCACTGAGAATGGCTGACAAAATCTGATAAGGGGCAACGTAAGGCCTCGGTCACCATAGCTGGCGGCACAGTTACAGTGGAGCGTTGCTTTCAAAGTGATATAGAGGGTGGGATGAGGTGGCCGACATCGACGGTAGATGACAGAAAGTAATAGCGACTGATGGGAGCTAATAAGAGTACTTTCGCTATCGCCGTTCATCAAGTTGTGAAGCTTTCACACCATCACACGGGGCACAGGTAGAGATACCAGTTGATGAGAAAGGATGAGCGTCAATGTTCACCACATTTCTTGTGACTAACCCTTATGGCTAGGTTTTACTGTAGTAAGTATTACTGGCAAAGGCTTAGTGTGTTGGCCCATTCCTTTACCTATAAAATATCGAGCCAAAACGTATTTTGCACTTATTCCTAATGCGGTATGTTCGTGTAAAGGGGGGGGGGAGGAAGGGAAGGTTTGGTCTCAGTGCAGGCATCATTGAGTTCCACATCTGATACCGGATCATGTGTCATCCAAAACTTGTAAAGTGCTTATCGCCAAATTAATTTATCGTTTTCCATTGGAATGTTATATAAGAACAATGAAGTTGTTGAAGTTTCTCCAATTTCGCGCTTGATCAGCAACCCATAAGAGGCCGGTACAAGGTATCGTAGTCTAAAAAGCGTTTTTATCGTGATTAGGGCGGGCTGAGGGCTTATCTCTCATGCGCTCCCATTATTCCATTTCTATTTGTAAACAAAGATAAGTGTAATGTGAGACTTTTTCGTCTATGTTTAATATGCTTGCTGTTTTCTTGGATATCACGTACACCATTTGCGTAGAAGCCTAAGAAAAAAAATGAAAGAGTGGAATGGGGTGCGTTAAATATGACATCGATAGTTGATAACGTCGCAGCCAAGGGGGCGGTGTCAGGAGGGCGAAGTGAGCCCGCCTCCGGCTGACTTTTCTACCAGTAGCGTTCGTTCAACACTGATTTAGGAGGAAAACAACCAGTGGTGAGAACGGCATGAGTGGGCTCATTCCATGCCTTTTGACACCACCCCGACTAATTGTAGACGTATCAAAGATGTGATTCATAGCCCACCCTGAACGAGAACTTTTTCTGGACATACGCATCCGACACTGTTTTACCCTTGCATCATTAGAATCGCTTAAACCGGTTAGGATTAGATCCTAGGTCTCTTGACGACCAATGACGATTTGAACTGCGAAGCCGAGCCATGAAAAAGCCTGAACGGTAGC